AAAAAAAAAAAAAAAAAAAAAAAAAAAAAAAAAAAAAAAAAAAAAAAAAAAAAAAAAAAAAAAAAAAAAAAAAAAAAAAAAAATCACAAAGAACGTGACAATTTCATTTGATCTTAACTTGTAGGCATTCTAATAGTAAGTTCATTTACTATATTTGCTTAAACTAGTGTTTAACAACGATAAAGTGCCTCCTAAACTTAATTTTAATGTAATCTAATTTCACCTATGAATTTCATGCCTTCAAAATATCTAATTTAAAACTCATCATGGAGTCATATAATGATAAATAATCTTAATCGGTAAAAATAGTAACTAAATTGACTTTTTTTTTTCTTTTCTTCTCGAGAACAGTCCAAAAGGGTTAAGGGTCCTTGTGGAATTTAAATGGTAGTTATAGTAGTCTTTGTTGGGCTGGTTGTGCGTGGCAAGTTAGATAAACACGACTCTCAACAATGGTATGATATTTTCTACTTTGAGTCTAAGCTTTTATGACTTTGCTTTGGACTTCCCAAAAAACCTCATACCAATGAAGATATATTCATTTACTTATAAACTCATGATCATTCTCTAAATTAGCTAATGTAGGACTCACTCCCAACAATCCTCAACACTACATAGATGGGTTTCGTGGATCGTGGGCTACTAGATCTCGAGTCGGTTAGATTGATATTTTCGATGACTCGCTAGAGACCTTGTGATTTCGACTATGACATTATATATGCAGCTCACTTAGTTACACAATTAATCTCTCCGCTAATGTTAATAAACATTAAATATAAACTCAAGAAAAAAACACTATTACATTTAAAATCAAGTTGTAAACCGAGAACAAACGTTGAGGAGCAATTGTTGGGTGGTGTTGTCAATCCCAAATTTGTAGGAGAACCATGGGGCGGACAACAATGTGAGCATCTAATTTTGTTGCCTCACAAAGTTATTCATACAACCATGTTATGCACACTCCACCCCGATTATATCGTCCTCTACAACTTCAAAGTATGCTAAGAGTAGTAGAAACATCATAGACATAAGGTTGTTTTAATTACGAGAGAATTAACTCCCATCAATTAAGTGCACATGTATGCTCGAGCATACCTCACAACAATATCCTCATCTGCATCGTCATTTGGCCTTGAGAATTGAAATGCTAACCAGGGTAAGCTTAATCTCGAGTCCTTAAAAGAATTGAAATGAATGACACATATGTACTCATAGTTCGTCAACCTTGCAATAGGCTCACCATCTATGGACAATCCAAGCAAGAGCTCCACGTCTTGTATAGTGATAGTATACTCCCAACCATATGTGTGAAACATACATGTTCTTAGTCTTGTCTCAACAAATGCAATAATGAAATGTTAGTTTAATTCGATGAAACTTAATCTTTGTCACTCTTAAAAAAAATTTCAACAAGTTGTATTGGCGGTAATAAGATAATGCAATAAGACTTCGAACGACATGATGCAATTATTTATAATAAAAAATAATAATTTTGATTATTTTATTTACCGTATAATACATAATATTAAGAAATAATTAAAGGTTGACAATAATCTCCCATTTTTATATACAATAGATAATAAATATAAATTAGAGAGTTTCCTACCAAATATACCAATTCTCTTTATTATATTTTATTTTACCTTTTCCACTCTTTTTGAAATATTTTGGTTTCGTCTTCGTGGAAACCCTAAAATTGAAACCCACTTCCCAAGTTTTGCTGTTAAAAATTCCCTTCGGCTGCGCCTTTGTCTTAGTCAATTCTCTCCTCCAGACCTTGCACTCCAAGAAATCAGTGTGCTTTATAACCTTCTGTTTGGAGCTTTGACTATTCATTGTCTGGAAATGGCGGATTCTGTAGACGGAGCTGCGAAGGCTGTCTCTGAATTGGCATTGGGTTCCGCTTCTGCGGCTTTAGACATGGCCGACTCTGCTCCAAGTGCTGAAGAAACTATAAGCAAGAAGTGAGTGTTCTGTTGAATTTTTGTTCATTGGTGCGTTTTTAGCTAATGTGTGGAAATGGATGTTAGAGTTAACTTATTTGTAGCTGGGTTTAGTCTTAGTCAATAGATAGGTTAAATTTGATTATGTCATTGCCATTTTTGTTCTTTTAGTTTTGTTATTAGTTGGGTAGTTTTTCGTCGAAATTACGACTTTTGAAGTTGTAGGGTTTTAACCTTGTAATGTTTTCAGTGCACGCAAGAAGGAATTAAAGATGAAGCAGAAGGAAGAGGAAAGGAGGCGTAAGGAGGAATTGAAGGAGAAAGCAAAGCAGGTACTAGCAATTACAAATGGAACACCTATAGATTCAAGTGTTTAGAATGCATTATTTAAGAATAGAGCTGGGTGAAATAATTATCCATTCTCGAATGAGAATATCAAATATGGTGCCTCTAATTGGCAGTTAGTTTAATAACTATACTTGTATGCAAGGAAACGAGTTGTAAATTCTGTTGGCCAGATTTCATGTTTTAATGTTATTCTTGACTACCACTACAGAAAGAACTTTGCGACTGAAATGTATTTATGTACCAGGAAGCATCCCAGAATAAGAAATCTGTAGCGGTAGATGATGAAGAAATGGACCCCACGGTACAACTATTAAGTTCTTATTTTGACTTCTACTTCAGAACTTTTAGAATCGTTGTCATACTGATTTTTCTCCCCCAATTGGCTTGTGTTTCCAGCAATATTTTGAAAATAGGCTGAAATATCTTGCATCTCAGAAGGCAGATGGTAAAAATCCATATCCTCACAAGTTTCAGGTTTCAATGTCTCTCCTTGAGTATATTGAGAAATATGGAAGTTTAAACAATGGTGATCATCTTGAGGAAGTCATGGTTTCTCTTGCCGGTAACTAGAACCAAACTGATACCTTTTTCGTGATTCTTTTTGTTGATATCCCAATCATTTTCTCATATCTGTTTCTTTTTTCTTCATTTAAGGGAGAATAATGAGCAAAAGGTCATCCTCCTCGAAGTTGTTATTTTATGATCTCCATGGTTCTGGAGCTAAAATCCAAGTTATGGTGGATGCACGGTATGGAACTATTTTGTATTTCTCGCTACTTTAATTCGATAGTACTAGTTATGAATATTAAGGGTCGTCTTAATATCGTTCTTGTTTCCTATTTTCTGTTTTTATTTGTTTCTCATTTCTCATTTCTCATTTCTTGTTTTTTAAGAGCTAAATACAAAAAACATGTTTGATAACTATTTGTGTTTTATTTATGTTTCTTGTCTCTTTGAAAAGGAAAAAAAAAAAAAAAAACAGAAATGCGTTTGATAATTGTTTCTTATTTTTTTTAGTTTAATTAAAATTTAATGCATGTAATATAATAAAATGTATAACATGCATTAAAACAAATAAAAATCTACAGTTTCAGCCCCCCCCCCCCCCCCCCCCCCCC